GCAGTTTTCTGTCGGGGATTTGTCGTGTCGTGCCGCATCCAGTGTAGACAATAGATATGTATATATATCTATGTTGTAGACAGCATCACTGATTATAATGAGTTCTATAGTATTTTGTCACGCCGCGCCACTCGCGTCCGGTGTAGACACGGTGTAACATTGGTTTTGCTTTGTGTCACAGAACTAATCGTTGCCTGGGTTGTGAACGTATGTGTGGGGCGGAGCTATAAAAATAGGGGCGAGACCCTTTTGGGGTAGGGGCGTGTTTGTTTTGGTGATTTCAAATGTCAACATTGGCTACCAGAAATCTCTTACCTCTCTTAAAGGGATAGTTCACCCAGAAATGAAAAATCTGTCAAATACTCACTCTCATGTTACTTCAAACCCATTAGACTTTTATAATGAAGATATTTCTAATGAAGGCAGACAGATTTCTGTCCCACCTTTGAAAGTTGAAGTGGTTTAATCCAAGTCTTCCAAAGATATGATCACTTTACGCGGTGAATAGATTTAATTTTATTCACCGATAAATGCTGATCAACACGCATACATAGAGCTCATCTAATATGGTAAATGGAAGCGCAAACATTTGATGTGCGAAAACCAACAAATTTGTTCTTGCATCAATGACAATATGTGAATAAAAGCCTAAGGTCTTTAGAAAACTTGGGATTAAACCGTTAAATTCATTTGGATTTTATTACGGAGTCCTTATGAAATATTTGAAATATCAAAGTTTTTGGAGAACGGACTTTTAGTGGTGGAATGGAAATTATTCGGGTTTCATTCAAATGTTTTGAAGATGAACAAAATTCTTAAGGGTTTGGAAAGACATGAGGGTGATTAACTGATGACAGAATAGTTTTTTTGGGGGGGGTTATCTATAAGTAAATTGAACACTGTAAGCAAGTTTAAACTCTAAGTAAGAGCATCCCAACATGTCAGCCTGTGACTCAACCAATAGCAAGAGTACAATGAAAGGCAGTAGGACGCATACTATTATTTGCAACTCAATTGGTTTTATCAGGGGTCCAAAAAGACACACTTCAGCTTTAAGTTGGTGGATATTAGTGACTAAAATTGCGGTAAAGTCAAACCTACAAAACATATTTAAAGCCTTTAAAATAAATTGAGCTAAAATGAGGTGAGAAAATATAACTTAAATACAAATGAATATTTTAAGCAAAACTTCCAACAACAAAGCCAGTATAAACCAGCTGAGGGGAAACACTTGGGTCAGTCGGTAATAGGCTGTATTTAACCAATCCAGCTTCACCAAAAAATGGCAAATCCAATACACATCAGTAAAGTCAATGGCCTCACCCAGTTTTAAAGGGGTCATGAACTGAAAAAAATTAAAAATTCCCTTGATCTTTTGACATAGTCTAAAAACGTATATTGAAGGCAGTCTGCCAAAACGACAGCTTGTGGAACGTTCTACTCTATGATGTAATAGTGTGGATAAGCTCCGCCTCCACAGAAGATCATCAATACCTGCTTATACATCGCTGTCTGTTTAGCCCCACCCACCGATTCACGTCTGTAGTGTAAATAACGAGAGAAGCAAACGCAGGTCTACAAAGAAACCAAATGATAAAGATAATTTCGAATACAACAAGATGCTGTTCAGTGCCAAGTTGCCACAGTCTTTGTATTACCTTCCTTCTGATCATAACATTAGAAAATAATGGATGAACTTTCATTTAAATTAAGATCCACACCGCATCAATGAGAACTTGGTCCTTTGCTCACTTCATTTTACCGCAGATTCGTTTACAAACAAGGCACAATTCGACCCAGGATTTTCAGAAAGATCGAAACTAAAAGACACGGTAACACTTTATTTCGATAGTCCACTTTAGACATTCTATTAACAGTAAGTAACTTTGCAACTACATGTCAACTAGCAGTTAGTAGAGTATTAGTAGACTGTCTGCTTAATATCTTCTAACACTTTCTTTGTCAACTTATTCTACTAACCCTAAACCTACCCTAACAGTCTACTCTGAGAGTTAGTAGACATGTAGTTGCAAATTAATGAGAATTAATTGACATGTAGTTACAAAGTTACTTACAGTTAATAGAATGTCTAAAGTGGACTATTGAAATAAAGTGTAACCGCTTTGTCTGTTAAACAGATTGTTCTGTTTGATATGTACTGAGTATTTATGCATTTGTAACCTAAATAACAGCAGCGCCCATCTGTGAAGGATGCAGACTGTCAAACATACACAAGTCTTGGCTAATCATAGCAGTGGGCGTTTACTTCCGAGTCTACAATCCGCCACACCTATTCAAACAGAGCGCTCTGATGGGGGAAATGTCATGAACATTTTCATGTTCATGACCCCTTTAATATTTTTCATCATCTCAGTCTCTCAACTGTTTTAGAACGAGAACTGAACTGAAATGGGATTGCCCTGGTATCTAGGAGTGTCTATAAATGGATCTTGTTGGACAGGGATGGTGTGTGCTGTGTTTCTGACACTTGGGCAGCTGCTGCCTGCCTCTCATGCCACTGGGCCATGACATATCTAATGTTATCTCCCCTCAATGACACCTTCAACCATCAGCGTGAGCTCTCTTCTACTTTAATTCAGTTCACAAAATCTACTGGAACAAACTATAGAAAATCAACCGCATATTAATGCAGCAAATTATGGGCTGAACTCACTGATTCACCCAATCAAACAAACTAACAAAATATAAAGGTGGTTACTTTCATGCCAGGTTACTTTCATCCATCATTTGGTTCAAGGCTTAGAATTCTTGACTGAAGGATTTTCTGAAATGTCTATGGAGAAAATGAATAGGAAAAATATAACCGGAACCCAGGTGGCTAGAAAAGTGGGCGGTGTCTGTTTTGCTCTATTGTACTAATAAAAAACCTAAGGACAAACGTACAGGGAGTTCTTATGTCTGTGAGCAGATAGAGCATCAGCTGTTATGTAGGACAAACAGACACACTTAAGTCCTACAGGAACATTACACACACACACACTTTTTTCCATCCCTTGCCTAGGTGCAATTACTTTGGCCATTTTTGTATTGAATTGTTGTGAAACAGTACATTTAAAACCTGTCAGACAACAACCATTGTGTCTCAGTGTAGCTGTCTGTGTTTCCTCAGAAGTGGCTGGAGCCGGGGCCGCTCAGAGACAGGTGTGTGTGTGTGTGTGAGATATGAAGCTGCTCAGTGAACAGTGTGCTAGCACAGCAGCACAAACAGCCCAGAGACATGTCTCAGCCTGCCTATCTCAATGGAGCGCTCATCTGTCTCTCTGCTTCAGAGGGAGGGAGCAGCAGACACTTACACACCTGATTCACTAAACACACATGCCTTCATCTATTAACTAACCGACTTGATTCTGATGATCGGCAGATACTGCTTTCGGTGATCGGCCTCAAAAATCCTGATCGGAGCACCCCTAGTTGTATCACCAGTAAAATGAAGCTCTGTTGATTAAATATGAATTAAATATGAATCTGTATTGAGTCAAAACAATACACTGCAGGATAGGAAACAATATAGCCGATTTCCGATACAATGAAAGCACAGACCACAAAGGCAGGAGGTGCATGGGAAACTATCTACAGAATGACAATGTACAACAGTCAGGGACATGTACGCTATATATGGTGACGGTCCAGACTCAGCTGCTTAGAGTACTGTGCTGCATGGCTGGGTACTGAACAGAACAGCCCAGGACTGGGGTCACAAATCATTCTTAAGAAAAAAATAATGTGCTTAACTGATATTTTCCTCTTATTTTCTAACTTAAGAATAAAGTTTAGAATATTTGTTTTCCAATGAACACTGTTCTTACCTTTTTTTCTTAAGATTGCTCTAAAGACAACATTTGAATTCCTAAAAAAGAATATTCTTAAAAATAACTAAATCCTCTTAAAGTCAGGATAACCTTCAACAGGTCTTAAACCCCTTAAAGATAACATGTTTAAAGAATATGTTGGGTGGTTTAAAATATTAAGCATTACAACATAACACGAGCTACATATAATAAATATTACTATAACTAGGGATTACACATTCACTCAAAGTCAAATGCAATTTTGTCCCCACTTTTTAAAAGCCACTGGAAAAAAAAGCATGCAGAAGACATAAGAAGCACATCAAATCTGTCTCCATAATTTCAATTATACATGTAAAACAAAATATGTTTGTGCAGACAATATCGGCATATCCTGGGATTTATGACATAACGTAAATAGTGTGCAGACTTAATATGATTATTGTGGTAATCATGGCTGGGTACTGAACAGAACAGCCCAGGACTGGGGTCACAAATCATTCTTAAGAAAAAAATTATGTTCTTAACTGATATTTTCCTCTTATTTTCTAACTTAAGAATAAAGTTTAGAATATTTGTTTTCCAATGAACACTGTTCTTACCTTTTTTTCTTAAGATTGCTCTAAAGACAACATTTGAATTCCTAAAAAAGAATATTCTTAAAAATAACTAAATCCTCTTAAAGTCAGGATAACCTTCAACAGGTCTTAAACCCCTTAAAGATAACATGTTTAAAGAATATGTTGGGTGGTTTAAAATATTAAGCATTACAACATAACACGAGCTACATATAATAAATATTACTATAACTAGGGATTACACATTCACTCAAAGTCAAATTCAATTTTGTCCCCACTTTTTGAAAGCCACTGGAAAAAAAGCATGCAGAAGACATAAGAAGCACATCAAATCTGTCTCCATAATTTCAATTACACATGTAAAACAAAATATGTTTGTGCAGACAATATCGGCATATCCTGGGATTTATGACATAACGTAAATAGTGTGCAGACTTAATATGATTATTGTGGTAATCTGAAGGCAGCGCAAAAGACGGCCTTTGAGATGTATGGACATGATCAGCAAGTCTTCAGCAAACAATCACAAAACAATCATTTGCTTCTCAGGAAAACAATACGATACTATTAAGAAAATATTTGAAAACTTACAAATTTTTCAAGAATTGCACAACATGGCCTTATTAGAAACTTTTTTCTTAAGCTTTTTGTGAATCTGGCACCAGTTACTCGAGATACAGTTCCCACACACCTTTGAAACAAGGATTTTCCATAAGTTTTTCCAGTCATTCATAATTAAAGGATTAAAAAAAAAAATCCTACTGCATAATGATTTTTAGAAGTCTAGTCCAATATTTTAGAGCCAAGCATAACCAGAATCATAGAAAAACTGGCATAATGACTGTAGAAATATTGTATTAATTCACTCTGATATTTCCAGGCTTTGAAATCACCATTTTAAACCCCAGCTGATAGATCCAGGTTTCCATGGCCGTGGGAAAACTGCTAGGTTACGACATTTTGAACAGGTCCTGCTTTTATCATTCTGCACAGTGGAGTCTACTCAAGAAAGCAGCATGAAGCCACACATACTTCACAGTTGCAGTTTTGGGGCGAAAGCTGACAAGACAAATACTGACTCACCTTGCAGTGCAGTGTTGCTGTTGTGATGGGCGGGTTTGGGAGGGGGCACTGGCGGCTGTTTAGGGGCAGTAGGGGCAGGAGGGTTGGAGTGGCCAGGAACAGTGTGCAGGGCAGAGTGGGCAGAAACAGTGGGCGGGGCAGAGTGGGCAGGAACTGTGGGCGGAGTCGAGTGGGCAGAAACAGTGGGCTGGGTAGAGTGGGCGGGAACATTGGGCAGAGTCGAGTTGGCAGAAACAGTGGGCGGGGCAGAGTGGGCAGGGACAGTGGGAGGAGTCGAGTGGGCAGACACAATGGGCGGAGCTTCACGGTCTCCTGCTGTTATGGGAGGAATGGGATTACTTCGGGAGGAGTCGTCTACATTTAAAGACACAGTCCGAGGAGGAGGCTTAGCAATGGGGGGAGCAGAGGATGAGGATGATGACGATGATGACGAAGAGGAGGAGGATGGGACTGGAGCAGTCTCAGTGGAGGAGGAGGAAGAAGCCATCAGCCATTTGGGAGGGAGAATGGCCTGTTTAGGGGGCAGCTGGGAGTCTTTAATGGAGGCACTTGGTGCAGGTTTGGGCTCAGGAACAAACCGCACACCCACTGATCCTAATGGTGAGCACAAGACACATGCACAAACATACATAAACACAAATAACAAAACACACACAGGTGCACAGCACAATCACAGCAGCAGGCATGGCATGTGAACAGGGTGACAGTGGAGCGCTTTAAAGACCCCATGAAGTCAAAATGGTCAAATAACAAAACACACACAGGTGCACAGCACAATCACAGCAGCAGGCATGAGTAAATCAGGCATGGCATGTGAACAGGGTGACAGTGGAGCGCTTTAAAGACCCCATGAAGTCAAAATGGCAGTATTGTGATTTGAGGGCATCTATATGACCAATGTTGACAAAAATAACTTTTAAAAGGTATACTTAGGGCTACACGATTGACATATCCTTCAATAACCAATACAGGAATCCTGCTGTTTCATGGGGTCTTTACCATCGCTGTGCCGTGAGCAATATAGTGCATAGTGAAGTTCTGCAGATCTACCAATACAACTGCATGAACTGTATGATCAGCACTCAAAATCTTGAAATTTTGAAGCTGTCTCTCAAGAACCTGATATAAGCTGCTTTAAAGAGCTTAAGCAAATGTATTTGTGACACTACTGTAAATGTCTCCTGATAGCAAAAACAAGACTTTGATGGACACCACACTGAAGTCTATTATGATCCCATTTATTTGACAGACAGGCTAAAGAGCTAATAATAAAAAAAAGTTATGAAAATATGATGCCAATAAGTTTAAATGTTCTTGTAACAGACCTATACTGTAGGTCCAAGGTTATTTTGAACAATTTATATATAAAAAAAATAAATAAATACTAAGGACGCACTGATATTGAACTTCTGGGCCGATACAAATAAACAATAATTGCAATTTTGCATTTAAACTCTTTAAAAACAGCTTGAGTGTCTAGTTTATTAAAACACTTAATTATAAATAGCTGTTTCAAAATTAAACCAACTCTCTCTTAACTATTGTTTTTTTCAACAGGCAAAAAAGGTCCACTGTCAATGATCGATGTATGAATCACAGCTCACATAGAATCCACTTTCAATCAAGCAGCTTTCTGGTGGTCAACATGGTGAATTCGATGGCCGACTTGAATAGTGGTTGAACAATATATCGGCAAACCGATCAATCTATCTATTTATTGTACAGATTTATTTTTCATCAAGTTCAAAGTATTTTATAATTTTTTATATGCATTCACTTTCAAATTATTTATTTTTAATGTATTAAATATTATATAAAATAAATACATTTCATTTTAGCAACTGTTATGCATGTGCTTTTACTATCATTAAATTGAATAATATGATATCATGTATCCATGGCTTTATATTGCCCATCAAAAAAATCATTATCTGTCGACCACTGAACCTGATGCAAAATCTGCATGGGGATATCTTTCAGCCTTTCGCTGAATTCCCAATAGCGTGATTCCTACTGAAATGACTGGATTTCGCCTGCAGAAATTCACCAAAATGTGACCTCTAGTGCGGAATTCTGCTTTTATTGCCAAATGCATTTTGTTTAGTGCTGTCAAACGATTAATCGCATCCAAAATAAAAGTTTAAGTTTGCATAATATATGTGTGTGTTCTGTGTATATTTATTATGTATATATAAATACACACACACATGCAGTATATATTTTGAAAATATTTACAGGTCTATATTTATATTTACATAATTTATATTATACATAAATACATTTAATATATAAAAATAACATTTCTCTGAAATATATACACATGCATGCGTGTGTATTTATATATATACACAGTAAACATACATATATTATGTAAACAAAAACTTTTATTTTGGATGGATCAATCATTTGACAGCACTAATTTTGTTGTTGTTGTTTTTCTAATTATTTATTTAAATGTGTCATATCAGATCTGACGTGTGAACAAAACTTCACTAAACATTATTTGTAACACGCCACCCAGCGAATAATCGTAATAAACTTTGTGCTTTGTTACTTTTGATATGAAACAAAGTCAGAATTTTCCCTAGACGCATGTGAATATTAAAACTTCTAGTAAGCCTCACAGTTTTGAGCGATGCCTTTAATGCATTTTCTGAGCCCACAAATGTACTATCAGGAATGAGGCGAGCTGGGTGAGAGTTCTACCTGTCCGTGCCCTTGTTTCCTCTTCTGCAGGTGTGTGCCGTGGCAGTGTGCTGCTCTGGACGGCCTCTGAAACAGGCCGGACCTTCTGTCCAATGTCAGACGAGCTCTTCTGAAGAATGGGCCGCATGTCCTGTTCTGACTGAGGCCGGAAGAGTTTCCCATCAGACACCTGTTTCACGGGTTCTGGCCTCCTGACGTCTCTCCTTTCTCTCTCGTCTTTTCGGTCTCTCTCCTCGCGTCTATCCCGTTCCTCTCTTCTTTCCCTGTCTTCCCTCCTCTCATTCTGCTCCTTTCGCTCTCGCTCTCGCTCATCTACTCTCTCTGGCTCATCCCGTCTTTCGTGATCCTCTTTCCGGTCTCGTGGCTGTTTCCTGTCCCTGTTTTCTCTCCAGTCTTTCTCTTCCCGCTTTTCTCTGTCATTCCTCCTCTCATCTCGCTCACCTTTTCCGTGCCAGTCTTCTTTATCCGGCCTCCTGTCTCGTCTGTCTCTGTCATCTCTGCGTTCGCCTCTTCCTTCCCTGTCGTCTTTTCTATCCCGCCGTTCTCTGTCCCTACTCGCTTTCTCGTCTCTTTCCTCCCGGCGATAACGCCCCTCCTCATGTCCTTGTCTTTCTCTCGGTAACGATCCTGCTGGTCTCTCCACGTCTGACTCCAGTCGGCTGCGTCGGTCTGTTTCAGGCGGTAACCGCATCCGAGCGTCCACGTCCAGCGGCTGACGGTTGCGACTGACGTCGGAGGGAGCTCGGTTGCGGCGCTCCGGTTCAGGTGCGAGGCTGTTCCTCTGTTCTTCTCCTTGTGGCCGTGAAGATGGTGCCTTGACCTCTGACCCTGTGTCTGACCTGCGCTCTCCAGGCACTGGAGCAGTGTGGCCGTTCTTCACTGGAGGAGCTTTGTGATTCACGTCATTACGCTCTGAAACAGATGTGGATAATGGATTTTGAGACAGAATACAATAGAACAAAGAAAAACAATGTGTCAGACTGGATACTAAAAGTATAAAATGATGCAAAACTTATTACAGATGCTCAGAAGAGGGTTTTACACATTTTTATCAATTTCCATGACTTTTCCAGGTTATGAAAAGGTCAAAGGTTTAATTTAAGATCGTCATATTAGTAGGGCTGTCGCATGACCGTTATTTTGTCATTCTCTTCTGTTCACTTCCTGTTTCAACGTGTGTGTATATTTATGGTGGTAATACCGCGCTATTGAGCCACTCAAAATTACCGCAAAGGAAATTCCCTCACCGCGACAGCCCTACATATTAGCCAGTATAATGTTCTAGAAAAATGTATTTTCTCTACAGATTTTTCCATGACTATTCTTTTATATTTTAAGACTTTATCATTGGCTTCTCTAGGACTAAAAATCATGATTTTAAAGTCACCATGAAATCAAAATGGACTTTGTTTCTTGGTTTTAATTGAATGCTTTAAGTATTTATTATAAATGATTTATCTGTGCATATCTTTAAATAAATCAATCAATAAATATTAGTTCTCATAATCGTTAATCAAAAACATTAACATGCCCCCTTGCAGAGACATTTTTTTTCTGATGTCGGACTGTCTCACTGACTTTACTAATCCTGGTCTTCATTGACTGTGAACCTGTTTTAAACACTACATTGCAGCTAATTATGTATTTTCAATATGAAGAAGTCAGATAATTACCACCATAAAGAAAAAGAATCCAGAGTAGGGCTGAACGATTAATTGCATTTGCGATAATATCGCGATATGAAGAAAAAAAAAAAACATGGTTTTTCAACCGCAGAGGCTGCGATTACACTCGGTCACGTGACACGCGAGAGTAAGGCCCTGTCCACACGAACGTGGTTATTTTTAAAACCGCAGCTTTTTCTACGTGGTTTGGCCGTTCGTCCACACGCAAACGCAGCACCAGTTCACTGAAACCGAACACTTTTGAAAACGCCTGCCAGGGTGAAGATTTTCAAAAATTTGGGTTGCAGTGTTATCGTGTAGACAGCGAAACCGGAGTTTTTGGCTTGTGACGTCAGAGCCTGCGTTGTTATCTCCGCCTACTGGAAACTTTTTCAGGCTTCTGATTGGCCAACATGGTTTTACGGTTGAGATTATATCGCCACCTGTTGGTTGTATGCTCTTGACAGTGCTCATAGCATGCGTTTGCGTTTTCATGTGGACAGAGATTTTTTTAAAAACGGAAGAAGGAAAAACTCAGTTTATAAAAATACCCGTGTACGTGTGGACATGGCCTAAAGAGGTGTGTTCGACTTGAAGATCTATCGGTGTATGACATCAAAGTACCGCGAGAGGAAAGCATAAGGAGACGTCCACTTTCTTATAGCTCTCGCAGTGCTTTGATGACATACACCGATCGATCTAGCAGTGCTGCTTCAAGTCGAGCACATCTAAGCAGTCTTCAGAGGAAGCATCAAGTTGGCACGCTACAGTGCTGCCAA